GTCTGTGTTTGAATAAAACTTTATTCACAAAACCAGGTAGGAGACTGGATGTGGCCCTGTGGCCATAGGTTTCCTATCCCTGACTTAATGGATTTACAGGCAAATAAATTATCTGTATTATTTATGGATTTATTTATAAATAAATGATCTATATTTGTTTATGGATATATGGATACAAATATATAGATTATGTGTGCATTTACTTATGAAAAGATATTCTGGAGTCTTTTAAGTATAAAAAATATATTACGTTGTATATATGTGTTATGTATTTGTGTCACATCACATATTTATTACATAATACACATATATAATTAAATAAATAAATAATCCCTGCACAATACCACTCTGTAGCTGTGGGAAAGAATGAGGAAATCTATGTACTATGACATGGAAAATCTCAAGCACCAATTAAGGAGAAAATTCAAGTGGCAGACTCACGAGAATAGTACAGTCCCATTTGTATTTAACATTTTATATGTTTCACGCAATATTTTGTAAATGATACAGAAGAAGCTGCTATAGCCTCTAGGGAGGGACTGAGAGACTGGCTTCCTGGGAAAATAGAGAAAAATCCACTTCCCTTTTATATTCTTTTGCACTGTTGTTTTTTTTCACCATATGTATATACAATATTTGAACACAGAAAGGTATTTTTTTAAATTTTTTTAATGTTTTATTTATTTCTGAGAGAGAGAGACAGTGTGAGCAGGGGAGGGTCAGAGAGAGAGGGAGACACAGAATCTGAAACAGGCTCCAGTTGTCAGCACAGAGCCCGACACGGGGCTCGAACCCACGAACTGTGAGATCACGACCTGAGCTGAAGTTGGCCGCCCAACCAACTGAGCCACCCAGGCGCCTCAGAAAGGTATTTTTAAAAAAGAAAATACAACTTAATGGAAGGAGGCGGCAGAGTTAGGCACATAACAAGGCTTGAAAGCTGGGCAGTTGGGCAGCTGGCATCCCTGTCAGGATGACCATGCCAGTTATTTAAGTGTTGAAATACATCTAGGGGCGCCTGGGGGGGCTCAGTCGGTTGAGCATCAACTCTTGATTTCAGCTCATCGTGATCTCACAGTTCGTGAGATGGAGCTCTGCATCCATGCTGTCAGCACAGAGCCTGCTTGAGATTCCCTCCCCCCTCTCTCTCTGCCCCTCCCCAGCTCACTGTCTCTCTCTCTTTCAAAATAAACAAACTTACAAAGGAGTGGGGCAGGGGGGAGATATATCTAGACCAGGTGATCAATAACCATTGCCCTGAATACCTAAAGTCTCCTCTGTCAGCCAGGCCATCCATCAGGAACCCACCCATTCCCCTAAACTCCCCACGATTCAGCAATTTTAAGTTCTTAGCAAAACTCATAACTTCCCTGAGTTTCTTTTTACTCATCAGTGAAACGTCGCCAGTAATACTTGGCCCACCAGGCCCTGGCATATGAAAGGAAGTAACATACCTAAAAGCAGTGTACAAAATATAGAGCTCTAAGCTAACATAAGATAACTAACATCATTTTTTTGCACTTAGAGCCTGTCGGCAAAGATAATGTAAAGTATTTGTTCTAGGGACACAATCATTTTCTGCCATCCTGGCTCGAAACATCACCTTTCATTCATGCCTCTATTACAAGAATAATACCATTGTCTAGTTTTTTGAATATGTGTCGATTTCCTTTGCTATCTAGAATTCTATGAGGACAGAAAATGTGGCTCATTTATTTGCCCATGCTCAAGACCCAGTACAATGGCTGGTGTAGACTCAATGTATGTTTGATGAATAAATACATGGAACAGAAGCAAAGGAGCAAAATGAGAGGGACCGACAAAAACAAATTTGGTTTATGTGTTAGGACTCTACTTCCCAACTGGTTCCTGAGTAACTCAGTGACTTTGTTCAAACAGCACTCTCAGGGTAAGAACGAACGTGATCGGTCAAGCACTGCCTGAATCCACTGATGGGATTCTAACTCCTTATTTTTTTTTTATTTGACAGATAATTGAGTAGCTACAGGAATCGTGGTAAGGACTTGGAATTCAATAGGAGCAAAGCAGACATTTCCCCATCTGACTTGGAACTTGTGGTCTGTGGGGTAAGTCAGACATTAATGAAAACTATGGTACACATGAGGGCGTTCCTTTTAATGGAGAAAAGTGGTGTAAAGGAAATGAATATGGTTCTGTAAATGCATATAACAAAGAAGAGTCTTGCCAATGGCAGCGCGTCTGGGGGAATTATAAGGGATGTTTCCCCTAGGGAAATCACACATGGGATGAGGGCTGAAAAGAAGGGGTAACTAGGTCAGGAATGGGCTCCATATATCTCTCTGTGCACAGAAGTCCCTGCAAAGGCCCTGTGGAGAAATAAGAATGGTGCCTTTAAAGACAAGGTGGGGCGGCATGGCTACAGCACATGGGGAGAAGATAAGATCATGATGGGTTGATTTAGAAAGACTCACCAAAGCCCAGATCTCCCTGTTCTGGAGCCACACAGCCTGACTACATTCTCCAGCTTCCCTTGCAGCTGGGTGTGGCCAGTGGAATGTGAAGGAAACGAGGTACCCGTAACCCTAAAGGAGTTGCTGTCCTTCTTCCACATTTTTGCTCTCAGTTGACCTGTGGGATGAAGATGATGAAGAGGCCCCACAGGAAGGAGGAGCCTGACCCTGGGTCCTCTAGGAAAACCATGAAGCACTATGTAATGTTTGTTTGTGCTTTTGTGTGAGAAACACCCTTCTTTTGTGTTTGAATCATCATATATTTTTGAATCTGTTTATTTCTTCAGCCCAGTCTACACTGCAGGAGAGAAGGGCGTGGACAATATCACACAGGGCTTTCTGGGTCATGTTTCTGATGCCGGGCCCCCTAAGAAATGAGGAGTCCCTGAAGAGTTTCGTCCAAGTTGCTGAGCCTTGATGAAATGTATATTTGAAAAAGATGGTTCTGGTCGCTCTGTGAAGTGATGCATTTCTCCACTTTTCCATTTTGCTTTCCCCGCCCAGCCCTCTGGTATATTTTAGGCAAGGAGGTGGAAAATACTCAGATACTTCAGAGCATGGCAGCATGTCGGAAATAACGGAATAAAAGTCATGAGTATGAGCAGACAGGAAGTGTCAACGAAGGTCAGAACTGGCAAAAACAGGAGGGCATTTTCCAGGACAAAACAAACGGAAACAGGAATGGTCTCAACAGGCAGACAAGGCACCAAGCACTGACAGGAGGCTGCGGGGTCTGGAGTCAGGACACAGCTTGAACCTTCGCTAGCTTTACGACCTCAGGTGTATTACCTCTACTGGGTCTTCAAGTTCCCCAGTCTATGGAACAGGATGACAGAATTTGCGTTGCAGAATCGCCATGACAACACAACGGGGCCGCGACGTGGGTCGTGGGGTCCAGTTCCTGGCACGGGGCTTAGTGCTCATCCATGCTGGCTGTCAGGGGTGTCTGGAGCCAGGTTGGGAGTGGAAGGGTTAAAGGCCCCACCATTCAGATGGATTCCGAAGACTGAAATTTGAGGCAGGTGATTAAATATTTTCGAGAACTATCATCAAGAACTTGGTATCTGTGGAAACGAGAAGGGTCATGATAGGGAGGCAGGAGAAGAGTCCATCCCACTTAGAAACAAAGTTCCCTTAGAAGCTCTTCACTTCTGCACTATTGACTTCTGCCACCAGATAACCCTCCACTGTGTGTGCTGAGAGGGTGGGCGTCCTGCGCAGGGCGGGGTGTCCAGCAGCACCCCCGACCTCTAGGCACGAGGAGCGCCTCCCTCAGTCGTGGCAACTACGAGTGGCCCCAGACACTGACATGCGTCCCCCACCCTTTTGCTCATTCAGCCGGTGAACGCTTTTCACCAGGGATATGAGAGGACTTCCATGGACATGTCCCCACAGTCATGGAACTCACATCCAAGAGTTTGCATTTTCTTTTCCCCACGACTCAGCCGCTGAGCTCGTGGACGCAGTGTTGCTAAAATATTTAGAGACGGGGAGACCCATAGGCTACTTGAAGATAGTACCGTTAGGTTTTGGTTTTTCTTTCATCTCCTCATTGAAAAACATAGATTTTAAAAACTACTGCTGCACAAGTACCGAGGCATATGTGATCTCCATTACATTCCGGTTTCGTGCACATCTAAGACCAGCCTCAAAATCAGAGATCTATATCGGAGTCTTGGTGTCCAATTACTTCTGTGTGGCTTGATGTATCTGTCTTTTAAATGCCTGAATTTGTTTTCTATCCTGTATAACAAATTGCCACAAGCTCAGCGGATTAAAACAACACCCGCTTAGTATCCGGTGGCTTGCAGGTGCGGAGTCTGAGGTCCGGGTTCTCTGCTTAGGGTCTCACCAGGCTGAGTTCCTGGTACTGGTTGAGCTGTACTCCCAGCTGGAGGCTCTGGGGGAGAATGTGCTTTAGGCTCATTGCTGTGGTTTGCAGAACTCGGTTCCTTGCGGTTTGAGAACCTGAGTTTCCATTAAACAATTAGTGAGGGTTAACTGTTGGCCGGGAGCTGTTGCTTCTAGCCGGTGCTTTCTGGTTTTTTTAATTTTTTTAAATTTTTTTTAACATTTATTTATTACTGACAGAGACAGAGCACGAGCAGGGAAGGGGCAGAGAGAGGGGGAAACACAGAATCCAAAGCAGGCTCCAAGCTCAAAGCTCTCAGCACAGAGCCTGATGCGGGGCTTGAACTCACGAACCTTGAGATCACGACCTGAGCCGAAGTCAGACACTCAAATGACTGAGCCACCAGGCGCCCCAAGTGCTTTCTGGTCTTTACCTGTGGCCCCTCCAGTCTCTAAAACTGGGTTCCGGTAGTGCCTTGAATCACCTTGGAGATTCCTGAATATCTCTGACTTCTTCTGCCATCAGCCAGTGGGAATACTCTGATTTTAGAGGGCCCACCTGATTGGCCAGACCTATCCGAATAATCTCATTATCTGCTGGGCAGCTGACTTGGGACCTTAATTCCATCTGCAAAATCTCTTCACAGCAGCACTTAGATTCATATTTGACTGGAGAACCTGGACACGACTCTGGGAGGCATCTTTAGAATCCTACCTTCCACAGCCCTCTGGAAAGTGGAGCGTGGGCCCAGAAGAAGGTCCTGGGATTTCGTAGTTTTCTTTTATGCCATCCCTTGCTTGAGGCCGGGGGCCTGCCTGTTTCACTTCTGTGGGGACCTACAGGCCACAAGAAGGCAGTGAGTACTGTGTGCCTGGTAAGGACAACTTATTTTTTTTTATTTTTTATTTTAGAGAGAAAGAGAGCACCCAAGCAGAGGGGAAGGACAGAGGGAGGGAGAGACAGAATCCCAAGCAGGCTCCACACTCAGCACAGAGCCCAACGCAGGGCTCAATCTCATGACCGTAAGACCATGACCTGAGCTGAAATCAAGAATCGGACCCTCAACCCACTGAGATACCCAAGCACCCTGGTAAAGACAATTTAATCCTGACACCCATGTGTCCTGGAATCCTGAAAAGACTAAAGGTATTGAATGGGGAGGGGAATTTACGTGTAATCAAATTTCATCATTCTTGTTATATGATTTAATATTTGTTTCCTCTTACTGGGGTTTTAATTTAGTTGGAACAGACAGTGAAGCCTCCATGTTCCGCATTAGATTGTGACATCCCAGTTGTCACCAGGAGCTGGATTACGGGCTTCACAAAAGTGAGGGGGCAGAGATGTTCTAATTTCATTTTTAATTATACAATAACAAAAGCTATTACGAACCAAGAAAGAATACCTTAAAATTAATTATCAGCCAAAATAAGATCCTCAGAAAAGCCTTTCAAAGATTAATCAAGATAAAATGAAACGAACATAAAATTAAATTTTAAAAAAAATCCTCTAAAAGATGAAGGAATTCAGAGAAGAACACGAAAAAAATAATTTATGGGAGACCAAGGGCTCTAAATTAGATACCTCTCTTGAAACATCGTCAAGGACATGTCTTACCTGAATTATGATCAAAAATCCACATCAATCTCCCTCCACGAGAAAAATAGGAAAGAATGACTCAAGTTCTCATCTACCTTCCAGGTATGACTCAATTCCCAATTCTATGACAATTTTCATGCTGTTTTTACAGAACACCAGAGCAAATGAGTATCAACTTATCCACCAACCTAATGGATAATAATGCAGGTGGGTCCTTCCATACAGAAGAAAGTCCCTTCGTGTCTTTAAGATGAAATCGGTGTGTGTCCCAAGATGACATCACAACTCGGTTCTTTTGGATCAAGAGGGAATCTCTTAAAATGAAGGGACTCCTCCCAAGCTCTCCAAATTACTCATTTTAGCATGTGATATAGTAAACATGTGTATTACTCGTTTGGTAATTCACCGTTTGGACGTATGTTCTGTCTTCTTCTCATAACAGCATTCTCCTTTCTGGTGGAGAAAATTTCCTCCTTTCTCTCAATCCTTTTGGCTTGGGGGAGAGGACAACGGACCCATCCCCAGTTCAAATAATAATAAAAAATATAGAAACCACAATCAGAGCACTGGATGTCCTGACCTCAGTGATTGGTTCAAGGCTGAGTATGTGACATCTGTTAGGCCAATAAGACAGATATCCCCAACCTTTGTTAAAACTGTGTTCTACCACCTGGGTTTCTAACTGGCAGGTAAGTCTAGATCAGCAGGTATCATCCTTCCTCCAGGAAGAAGCATTTCTGGGAATGAAACCAATTAAAAAAAAAAAAAAAAAAAAAAGAAAAGTCAGGAAATGAAAGAAAAAAAGGTCTTGGCATGATGATTTGAGCACCTGGATCCACCTTTACTTGAAGCCATTAACGCATGTAATTTTCATTTCCATCAGCAAATAAATATACTTTTTGCACTGAGCCAGTTTGAGCTGGTTTTCTGTCATGAAATCAAGAGTCATGACTAATCACTTTGTCTGGAAAGANGCTTGAGATTCCCTCCCCCCTCTCTCTCTGCCCCTCCCCAGCTCACTGTCTCTCTCTCTTTCAAAATAAACAAACTTACAAAGGAGTGGGGCAGGGGGGAGATATATCTAGACCAGGTGATCAATAACCATTGCCCTGAATACCTAAAGTCTCCTCTGTCAGCCAGGCCATCCATCAGGAACCCACCCATTCCCCTAAACTCCCCACGATTCAGCAATTTTAAGTTCTTAGCAAAACTCATAACTTCCCTGAGTTTCTTTTTACTCATCAGTGAAACGTCGCCAGTAATACTTGGCCCACCAGGCCCTGGCATATGAAAGGAAGTAACATACCTAAAAGCAGTGTACAAAATATAGAGCTCTAAGCTAACATAAGATAACTAACATCATTTTTTTGCACTTAGAGCCTGTCGGCAAAGATAATGTAAAGTATTTGTTCTAGGGACACAATCATTTTCTGCCATCCTGGCTCGAAACATCACCTTTCATTCATGCCTCTATTACAAGAATAATACCATTGTCTAGTTTTTTGAATATGTGTCGATTTCCTTTGCTATCTAGAATTCTATGAGGACAGAAAATGTGGCTCATTTATTTGCCCATGCTCAAGACCCAGTACAATGGCTGGTGTAGACTCAATGTATGTTTGATGAATAAATACATGGAACAGAAGCAAAGGAGCAAAATGAGAGGGACCGACAAAAACAAATTTGGTTTATGTGTTAGGACTCTACTTCCCAACTGGTTCCTGAGTAACTCAGTGACTTTGTTCAAACAGCACTCTCAGGGTAAGAACGAACGTGATCGGTCAAGCACTGCCTGAATCCACTGATGGGATTCTAACTCCTTATTTTTTTTTTATTTGACAGATAATTGAGTAGCTACAGGAATCGTGGTAAGGACTTGGAATTCAATAGGAGCAAAGCAGACATTTCCCCATCTGACTTGGAACTTGTGGTCTGTGGGGTAAGTCAGACATTAATGAAAACTATGGTACACATGAGGGCGTTCCTTTTAATGGAGAAAAGTGGTGTAAAGGAAATGAATATGGTTCTGTAAATGCATATAACAAAGAAGAGTCTTGCCAATGGCAGCGCGTCTGGGGGAATTATAAGGGATGTTTCCCCTAGGGAAATCACACATGGGATGAGGGCTGAAAAGAAGGGGTAACTAGGTCAGGAATGGGCTCCATATATCTCTCTGTGCACAGAAGTCCCTGCAAAGGCCCTGTGGAGAAATAAGAATGGTGCCTTTAAAGACAAGGTGGGGCGGCATGGCTACAGCACATGGGGAGAAGATAAGATCATGATGGGTTGATTTAGAAAGACTCACCAAAGCCCAGATCTCCCTGTTCTGGAGCCACACAGCCTGACTACATTCTCCAGCTTCCCTTGCAGCTGGGTGTGGCCAGTGGAATGTGAAGGAAACGAGGTACCCGTAACCCTAAAGGAGTTGCTGTCCTTCTTCCACATTTTTGCTCTCAGTTGACCTGTGGGATGAAGATGATGAAGAGGCCCCACAGGAAGGAGGAGCCTGACCCTGGGTCCTCTAGGAAAACCATGAAGCACTATGTAATGTTTGTTTGTGCTTTTGTGTGAGAAACACCCTTCTTTTGTGTTTGAATCATCATATATTTTTGAATCTGTTTATTTCTTCAGCCCAGTCTACACTGCAGGAGAGAAGGGCGTGGACAATATCACACAGGGCTTTCTGGGTCATGTTTCTGATGCCGGGCCCCCTAAGAAATGAGGAGTCCCTGAAGAGTTTCGTCCAAGTTGCTGAGCCTTGATGAAATGTATATTTGAAAAAGATGGTTCTGGTCGCTCTGTGAAGTGATGCATTTCTCCACTTTTCCATTTTGCTTTCCCCGCCCAGCCCTCTGGTATATTTTAGGCAAGGAGGTGGAAAATACTCAGATACTTCAGAGCATGGCAGCATGTCGGAAATAACGGAATAAAAGTCATGAGTATGAGCAGACAGGAAGTGTCAACGAAGGTCAGAACTGGCAAAAACAGGAGGGCATTTTCCAGGACAAAACAAACGGAAACAGGAATGGTCTCAACAGGCAGACAAGGCACCAAGCACTGACAGGAGGCTGCGGGGTCTGGAGTCAGGACACAGCTTGAACCTTCGCTAGCTTTACGACCTCAGGTGTATTACCTCTACTGGGTCTTCAAGTTCCCCAGTCTATGGAACAGGATGACAGAATTTGCGTTGCAGAATCGCCATGACAACACAACGGGGCCGCGACGTGGGTCGTGGGGTCCAGTTCCTGGCACGGGGCTTAGTGCTCATCCATGCTGGCTGTCAGGGGTGTCTGGAGCCAGGTTGGGAGTGGAAGGGTTAAAGGCCCCACCATTCAGATGGATTCCGAAGACTGAAATTTGAGGCAGGTGATTAAATATTTTCGAGAACTATCATCAAGAACTTGGTATCTGTGGAAACGAGAAGGGTCATGATAGGGAGGCAGGAGAAGAGTCCATCCCACTTAGAAACAAAGTTCCCTTAGAAGCTCTTCACTTCTGCACTATTGACTTCTGCCACCAGATAACCCTCCACTGTGTGTGCTGAGAGGGTGGGCGTCCTGCGCAGGGCGGGGTGTCCAGCAGCACCCCCGACCTCTAGGCACGAGGAGCGCCTCCCTCAGTCGTGGCAACTACGAGTGGCCCCAGACACTGACATGCGTCCCCCACCCTTTTGCTCATTCAGCCGGTGAACGCTTTTCACCAGGGATATGAGAGGACTTCCATGGACATGTCCCCACAGTCATGGAACTCACATCCAAGAGTTTGCATTTTCTTTTCCCCACGACTCAGCCGCTGAGCTCGTGGACGCAGTGTTGCTAAAATATTTAGAGACGGGGAGACCCATAGGCTACTTGAAGATAGTACCGTTAGGTTTTGGTTTTTCTTTCATCTCCTCATTGAAAAACATAGATTTTAAAAACTACTGCTGCACAAGTACCGAGGCATATGTGATCTCCATTACATTCCGGTTTCGTGCACATCTAAGACCAGCCTCAAAATCAGAGATCTATATCGGAGTCTTGGTGTCCAATTACTTCTGTGTGGCTTGATGTATCTGTCTTTTAAATGCCTGAATTTGTTTTCTATCCTGTATAACAAATTGCCACAAGCTCAGCGGATTAAAACAACACCCACTTAGTATCCGGTGGCTTGCAGGTGCGGAGTCTGAGGTCCGGGTTCTCTGCTTAGGGTCTCACCAGGCTGAGTTCCTGGTACTGGTTGAGCTGTACTCCCAGCTGGAGGCTCTGGGGGAGAATGTGCTTTAGGCTCATTGCTGTGGTTTGCAGAACTCGATTCCTTGCGGTTTGAGAACCTGAGTTTCCATTAAACAATTAGTGAGGGTTAACTGTTGGCCGGGAGCTGTTGCTTCTAGCCGGTGCTTTCTGGTTTTTTTAATTTTTTTAAATTTTTTTTAACATTTATTTATTACTGACAGAGACAGAGCACGAGCAGGGAAGGGGCAGAGAGAGGGGGAAACACAGAATCCAAAGCAGGCTCCAAGCTCAAAGCTCTCAGCACAGAGCCTGATGCGGGGCTTGAACTCACGAACCTTGAGATCACGACCTGAGCCGAAGTCAGACACTCAAATGACTGAGCCACCAGGCGCCCCAAGTGCTTTCTGGTCTTTACCTGTGGCCCCTCCAGTCTCTAAAACTGGGTTCCGGTAGTGCCTTGAATCACCTTGGAGATTCCTGAATATCTCTGACTTCTTCTGCCATCAGCCAGTGGGAATACTCTGATTTTAGAGGGCCCACCTGATTGGCCAGACCTATCCGAATAATCTCATTATCTGCTGGGCAGCTGACTTGGGACCTTAATTCCATCTGCAAAATCTCTTCACAGCAGCACTTAGATTCATATTTGACTGGAGAACCTGGACACGACTCTGGGAGGCATCTTTAGAATCCTACCTTCCACAGCCCTCTGGAAAGTGGAGCGTGGGCCCAGAAGAAGGTCCTGGGATTTCGTAGTTTTCTTTTATGCCATCCCTTGCTTGAGGCCGGGGGCCTGCCTGTTTCACTTCTGTGGGGACCTACAGGCCACAAGAAGGCAGTGAGTACTGTGTGCCTGGTAAGGACAACTTATTTTTTTTTATTTTTTATTTTAGAGAGAAAGAGAGCACCCAAGCAGAGGGGAAGGACAGAGGGAGGGAGAGACAGAATCCCAAGCAGGCTCCACACTCAGCACAGAGCCCAACGCAGGGCTCAATCTCATGACCGTAAGACCATGACCTGAGCTGAAATCAAGAATCGGACCCTCAACCCACTGAGATACCCAAGCACCCTGGTAAAGACAATTTAATCCTGACACCCATGTGTCCTGGAATCCTGAAAAGACTAAAGGTATTGAATGGGGAGGGGAATTTACGTGTAATCAAATTTCATCATTCTTGTTATATGATTTAATATTTGTTTCCTCTTACTGGGGTTTTAATTTAGTTGGAACAGACAGTGAAGCCTCCATGTTCCGCATTAGATTGTGACATCCCAGTTGTCACCAGGAGCTGGATTACGGGCTTCACAAAAGTGAGGGGGCAGAGATGTTCTAATTTCATTTTTAATTATACAATAACAAAAGCTATTACGAACCAAGAAAGAATACCTTAAAATTAATTATCAGCCAAAATAAGATCCTCAGAAAAGCCTTTCAAAGATTAATCAAGATAAAATGAAACGAACATAAAATTAAATTTTAAAAAAAATCCTCTAAAAGATGAAGGAATTCAGAGAAGAACACGAAAAAAATAATTTAT